TCGGACAAAGAGCAGCACCAGAAACAAGAAAAAAAGTGCTAACAACCAGCACTTTTGAAGCATTAATATAAGTTGTTTGTTTTGGGGTTTTTTTTCACTAACATGAGCCACAGTTTTATTTCTAACACAGTGTAAATCTCAGAATCTGTTTCCCAATAAGAATGTTCCATTTTTTTCCAAGTTAAAGATAATTTTAACTTTTGCTAAAAATACTATAAAAGACAGAGACTGTACATACGTAACAAATCAACCCCCGAACATCAACCCTGAGGCCAAATATAGGGATCAGAGTTTTGTTGGATACATTTCGGTCAAACTTGCTAATTGAAGGAACAGTTGTTGCTGTGCAGCGCCCTCCACTGGATTATGACTAATTTGGATTCTTCAATGTACAAACTAGTTTTTGCCAATAGATTCTAAGCCTCGCTGCCAGGTTTCTGGTCTTGAATTTTGGTTGAATATTGACAGCTTTATTGAGTGACTCCAGCAGAATCTCGTCCTCTTTGGCTCGACTGTTTTACAGAAGCATCTGGTGACATAATTTTCACTGTCAAACAAAGTTTTAACACCCATTTGCTGCCATTTTGAGTCACAGTTGGCGTCTAGGGATCATAATTAATAGCAGTGAAGTAGGACACGGCTAATGAAAAACAAAACAAAGTCAGGTTTGAACTGATTTCACAAAATAACAATAAAGAAAGGCCAGCAGAGGTCAGGCTAACCTGAGAGATTCACCAAGCTCATTCTGTCCTGTTTCTTCCTTCAGCTCCGACCGTCACAGGTTTTATTTATCCTCCAGTCACAGTTTTATTCTGTGCCGAAGTGAGAACGTGCGACAGATCACGCGGGTCACGTCGAGTTAGCTAACAGCTGCTGCGGGTTGATGTGGTCTGTGATAACGTCACGATTAGTGTGAAAAGACAGCTGCTCATTGTTGGAGCGCAGATTGGACTTGTGACTCGGGGTCTGACTCGAGGACGTCTTGGAGAAGATGACGTCGGAAGAGTCCCAGCTCACATTTCATCTCTCATCCTCAGTCAAGAACTACCAGCTCGTGTTGTTTACTCTCTGTCAAATATCTCTTGAAGAGAAATACTGCGTCTCTTTGAAGTATCCGTGGTGTTTCCCGGTGTCGCTGTTCTAAGACCGAGGGGAAACCGAAGCACAGCCTCCGCCGTGGATTTATACTTCTGTTCAATAGTTCCGGACGCTTCCGCAGTTAGTGCCCGGAGTGGAGGAACTGATTCATGGTTCAGTGCTGCTTCTCATGGCTTTATAGGACCACAGATCCCTGTTTATAGCAGCCAGTTTTACATCCATCCTAAAACTCCTCGGTCCAATAGCAACCATTTATCTGAAAGGTGGCTGGGTTTGGTTTTCTCCGTGTTCTATAAAAGATAACAAAGGCAGGGTCTGTAGGATTTAGGTCCCAGGGTTCTCAGTGAAAAGAACTGTTTATTTTAATATAACAGATGAACAGTCAGGGGTCGACTGGGTTTAAAGAATCGAGGAACAAGAATTATTTCTTCTCATTATAGTTGCAAATTTTCAGATGACGGCTACGGGAACAAGAATTATTTCTTCTCATTATATATATATATCATTCTACGGTCTTTCAAAATAAGTCATGAAATATATTTCAGAATATAAGAATATATATTAAGAATGTGAACATAAGGATCAGCAAAGACAAATCTAAATATCAAATCCAGATTGTTAAGATCACGTTTATGAGTTGCTTTACTGAGTTTATTTCTAAACTCAACTTTCATTGAGCGACTTTGCTCAAGCTAGGCTATACCTGTTAACCTAGTGTCATGTAAATAATAATAATTTGTATGTAACGTGTGGCGCTTTGGTCCAGAGGCAAAGAGACAGAGACTGCTGCCCCCGCGACCCAGTAACGGAAAAGCGGTTGAAAATGGATGGATGTAACATAGAAAAGTGTCTAAATCTGTTTTTTGCTAGAATTTGTTCCGGTAGGAATCAGGAATCTGCCAAAAAAAAAAAAAAAAGTCAATTAAAAGTTATTGACCAATTAATGGTTTATGGCCCAATCTGTGACTATGTTTCTACAATGTTTTTATTAAATGATTTCTATCATAACAACAAATCGTTCAGTAAGTCCTGCGCAAGAGTTCCGTTCCTACAGTGAGATGTGAGCCAATCGTAAGCCAAGCTTTAATCGTATGCTCTTTGGTAATTAACTGCTGAAATGATCATCTGTGATTGGTTGGACAACGATAACAGAACCATATCAGGGAGGTTTTCTCTGTTTTTAACGCCGCCTCGTCCCCATGCTTGAAAATAATGAGCGCTCACAAACACAACAGTTTCCATCTTTAACTGCAGATTCTTTCTCTCCCAACTTGGCCTCAATCCAAATCCAGAACACACTTAAGTTGATCGGTGAGAATCCAGGCTCCTGGATAAACCACAAATAGACGGATGCTGTATTTAACCCTGATGAGTTTCCTCAGCTTCTGGTGATTAGCAAATAGCAAATATACCAGATCCCTCTCCTTCAGTTGACCCAAGTGTGGTCGTACGTGTGCGTCATCGTCAGCGTATGCGGAGACGTCTCCAGCGAAAGATGCTGCTAAAAATAGCCTAGCGACATCAAAGGTCCCCTTTGAATTATGCGCGTTGCCACTCTATCAGTAGCTGTGCACGTGAAGGAGGATAATCTGATGAATGCATGAACTCCAGGGAGGCAGGCACACTGGGTAAACTCTCCAGTGACGTTGGGACACACACACACACACACACACACACACACACACACACACACACACACATCCTCTTAGTTATACGTTCAGCAAATAACAGGTTTCCCTGCTGCTCATTTACAGTTGGGTTTCTTTCAAACTACTTCAAACAGCAGGTTGTACTTGAATAATTCAGTGCAAAAGGAGAATAACAGTACATTAATGTCTGTTTGGGTTTTCTTTTGTTTTTTGTGGGGTTTTTTTTCCACTTGATTTTCTGTGACGATGCTTGACGACACACACACACACAGGAGAAAAAAAAACAAAACAAAACAAAAAAACAACGGACTCTCCACAGGGAATAAACAAAGTTCCAGTGTGCCGCTGCTGAGCCGCACATCACTGCAGTCTTTTGTAGGTTTGGGTTTTGTTTTTTTTTCCTCTCTCTAAGACAAATTTATCAGCATAATAACGAGGCGGCGTAGGACAGACTTGGCAAGCAGCTTAATAATATCCTCATTTGTGTTCATTTTGTATGCATCACATTGTCTCCGGGTGTCAGGAGGAGGTTGAAAGTGGAGTTGTGAATGGGGACGTACTGCCGTTAGGAAAAAAAAAAAATAATCAAGCAGTTCCCATAATGACTAGAGGGGCAGGAAACGGTTTTGAATTTTCCGTTTTGTTTGTCACTGATGCCACGGTTGATCTCTGATCCAGAGGGGGACGGATCTCAACTGCAGCCCAGTAAAAACTAAATACTTTGTAGTTTTTGCTCAAAGCTCAGGACCACAGGCCAACGGCTCTGAAGTCACAGGGTGCTGCAGGGTCCGTTTTTTGGATTTTTGAATCGAACTCTAGCAGAGTGTGGACTCTGGAGACGTTGTTGTTTTTCTAACACACTGCAACAAACAATCCACTGACGCAATTCTGGATTTTTCTGCTACTTTTTCTGCACAAAGTGAGTGACGAGAGAGCAGCTCTCTGTTTGTGTTTGATGCTGAATCATTCATTTATCTGAGTTAAATGGTTATTTATCAAAGCCATCTTTGGTTTAACCCTTAAGTGTCCTGATGTAGAAACTACAGTGAGGACTTATCCAAAAATGAGTCCACTGAAGGGTTGGATAAAAAAAGTCCCGGTTCAGTCATTATTAAAATCAGTCAAATGCATCAGGAAAAATGACCTGCTTTCAAACTAAAAACCAATATATCCAATATAACCTGGTCTGATCCCAAACCCAAAATCATTGATCAAAGCTTTTCAATCAGCAAAACATCAATAAAACAAATGAGTTCAAACAGAATAAAATAGTAAAAAGAAACAGACAATAAAATATAATAAAAAGCAACGTTTTACCTAGAACTGTGCTCTTCACTGACGGTCGGCTCCTGTCAGAGGACTTGATTTCCAGGCCTGATTTCTCCTCATGACGTCCAGGTTGCGTCAGTGCTGAAGGCCTGGACGTCTACAAAGAACATTTCTTCATATTTGATCACTCGTGTTGGAGGAGGAAAGAAAGAACGGCAGAAATAAAAATTAATTATTAGAAGCTAAAATACCATTATGACAGTAAATAATGGATGAAACGCAGATGCTGCTGAAGGAGAATCAATGAAAAGAACAGGAATGTCCTCAGACAGGAAGTGGTGACAGGAAGAGGGCGACGTCAGGGTGGACAAAAGCTGGAGACAGTGATTTTCTCAACAGCTCTCCAAAATGGCTGCGCATATTCTGACACATTTACGTCTGTAAACACGTGAAGTTCCTCACAGTTTACCTAGCGTCGGCGTCTGTTAGTCTGACACATTTACGTCTGTAAACACGTAAAGTTCCTCACAGACGTCAAGAGTTTACCTAGCGTCGGCGTCTGTTAACATCCTCGCATCTCAAATCTTTAGTCGTATCTCGAAGCAACAATTTGAGCGAATGCTTGTTCGTAACTCGAAATACTCGTATGTTGAGATGCTCGTACCTCGAGGTTCCACTGTACGTCTGAACTAAGATTTTACCTCGAGGCTCAGAACTTCAAATGTTGGTGATGGGGGATAACAGATTTTTGGTTCAATACCGATACTTCGTGTGTTGTTTTTTTATTTTACATTACCAGGGCGTGCAGCACAAAAGCCTGTATGTAGTAAGATACTAAAAGACGTGAAAATGACACTTGACCTCCATGGCCGTCTGATTGGTAAACTCCAGACCTGTGCCTCCTGATTTACAGCTCCTTCAAGAATTCCCCGTCAACGACTGTATTGATGAGAAGTTCTTTTTCTTTTTCTTTTTTTCCTGCAGGCACCACCAGGCAGCCCAAAGAAGGAGAGGTCCCAGGAGTGGACTACAACTTCGTGACCGTTGACCGGTTTATGGAACTGGAGAAAAGTGGGTCCCTGCTGGAGAGTGGAACGTATGAAGGTGAGGAGTGGGTGAAGGGTGGGGGAGGGGTGGGGGGTGGGTGAGGGGGGGGGGAGGGGTGGGGGAGGAGTGGGGGAGGGGTGTGTGAGGGGTGGGGGAGGAGTGGGGGAGGGGTGTGTGAGGGGTGGGTGAGGGGGGGGGGAGGGGTGGGGGAGGAGTGGGGGAGGGGTGTGTGAGGGGTGGGTGAAGGGTGGGGGAGGGGTGGGGGAGGAGTGGGGGAGGGGTGTGTGAGGGGTGGGGGAGGAGTGGGGGAGGGGTGTGTGAGGGGTGGGGGAGGAGTGGGGGAGGGGTGTGTGAGGGGTGGGGGAGGGGGGGGGGGGGGGGGAGGAGTGGGTGAAGGGTGGGGGAGGGGTGGGGGAGGAGTGGGGGAGGGGTGTGTGAGGGGTGGGTGAGGGGGGGGGGAGGGGTGGGGGAGGAGTGGGGGAGGGGTGTGTGAGGGGTGGGGGAGGAGTGGGGGAGGGGTGTGTGAGGGGTGGGTGAGGGGGGGGTGAGGAGTGGGTGGGGGGTGGGGGAGGGGTGGGGGAGGGGTGGGGGAGGAGTGGGGGAGGGGTGTGTGAGGGGTGGGTGAGGGGGGGGGGAGGGGTGGGGGAGGAGTGGGGGAGGGGTGTGTGAGGGGTGGGTGAGGGATGGGTGAAACGGCGTTCATCACTGACCGGTCACTTCTTCATTTTCATCCTTCAGAAAAAAAATGATGGCGTTTATGCATCGCTGTGACACTGAGTTGCAGTTTTTCATCTTTGACTGACAGCGGTGTGACTGAGCGTGTGTGTGTGTGTGTGTGTGTTTATCACTCTGCACACACACACACGCAGACACTCAGGAGTGTGTTTCCATCCATCAATCATCAGAAAGTGTCATCTGTCATGAAGGGCGCTGAAAGCAATCTCTCAGTGTATATACAAAATGAAAAGATCCCCCACGTGCACACCCACACGTGCACACACACACGTGCACACACACACGTGCACCTGCAGTATGTGTTGAAATATTTTATTTTCTTAGAGATGGCCAGAATTTAACCGTTTTATTCTCAAAATGAATTTCTGCTCGTGCATTTGAATTCCAGTACTGCAGCGCAGCAGAAACACTTGAATTAAATATACTAAATATAAACTAAATATATACTAAATATATACTAAATATATACTAAATATAAACTAAATATATACTAAAAATACTGCAAAAACATGAATATATAAATACAAAGAAACCATATGTTTAGCCATGTCTTGCTTTACAGGAATGGTTCTCAAAGTGGGGAGCGCCCCCCCAGGGGACAGTAAGCTATTGCAGCAGGGCAGTTCATTTCAATTTCAATATAAAACAAAAGTTAGCACAGAAAAGTTAAAGAACGAAGTTAAACAAAAGTTGAAAAACAAATAAAATAAATGTGTACTATATTGATCCCATATTTGTGAATGTGTTGTGTTAGCAGCAGTTATGCGTGTTAACTGCTACACTGTGGAACCGACTTCACGAGTTTCAAAAACCAAAGGAAAGCTTCTTCTTAGACCACGTTTCACAAAGGCCTTAAAGTTCTGTCGTCTCCTAACGAGGTGCCTCATTACACATGAATCACTAATTAATGCTTAATGAAGTAATAATTGCAGAAGTTCTAAGTAGGGAAGAGTTATTGTGTCATAAAGCCGGACATCACAGCTGCTCTGATCTGACGACTCCAGTCCTGGTTTCTTTATTGAGCGGTGGATTTTTATTTTCTTCTGTCATTTCTGCAGAATTTAACCCAGACTTTTCATTTCCCTCTCCCTCTCATTCTCCTCCCTCACTTTTATCTGACTCTCTCTCTCTCTCTCTCTCTCTCTTTGTCTGATGCCACAAAGTTCAATCTTCAAAGTCCGTGTCCAACTTCTCTGCCGCAGGTCATTCTGGTTCACAGCTGTGAAGAATCATCTTTATTTTGCCCAAAGTCAAATCTGCAGGTTTTTTCTTCTCTGTGATTTGTGTCCATGGTGGAGGCGTGGTTAATCCCAAACGTCTCAATCGTCGTCAACATCTTTTCACGTCTCCTCCTCTTCGCTTTATTTACAGCGTATTTCTCCCCAAACCTGATGTTTTCGGTGACTCATGTTTTGATTTTTGATTCGTAAATCTGCTACAAAATTCCTCCCTGAAGTCAAGTACAAGTGTAAATCTGCAGGGGAAAACTTTTCTAGGAGAAAAAATGATACAAAAAAGTAAATACAATGTCTTTTTAAAATTCTGATCAGGAAGTAATTTTTACTACAGTATTTTGTCTGAGATTTGACTTTTTTCGGAATTATAATTTAAAAGTTGACGTTCAGATAGTCAGAATAGTTTTGAGCCAGTTTTCCTGGACGATCAAACTGAAGTTTCAATTTCAACTTTTTTTTAGAAGAATTATTTCTCAGGTATGAAATTATTGAGAACTCATGTTGAATTTCAAATTTAACAAAAATTCGATTAAAGAAATAAGTAAAAAAATATGTATTCTCAGGTCAACTTTTTCACGAACTGACAACGGATTGTAAACACAAATATTATTTTCAGGAGTTCAGAGAATAATTGCAGAAAAGTGTTTTCTATTTCTTCTGTCTTCTAAGAAATACTTGAGAAAATCATAAAACTCAAGGACAAAATTCCATTTTTATTTTCCTCCTCTGCTGCACCGTAGTAACAAACAAACGTCCCTCAGGCGTGTCTCCAGCCCTGACGGCAGTCCAGCTAAATATAAGCATCAAGTTTATAACTCCCCCTCTCTCCCCCCCCTCCTCCCTCTCTCTCCCCCCCCCCCCCCCCTCTCTCTCTCCTTCTCATCCAGATAATTTTTACGGCACTCCCAAACCTCCGGCTGAGCCCAGCTCTGCCCTGCTGCTAAATGTAACAGACCAGCTGCTGCCAGGAGCCAGACCCAGCTCTGAGGGCAAGAGGAAACGCAACAAGTCGGTCAGTAACATGGAGAAAACCGGCATCGAACCCCCCGAGGAGGAGGAGGAGGAGAGGCCCGTGGTCAACGGCAACGACATCGCCGTGACGCCAGGTCAGTGCCTCTGACCTCGCGCTTCTGAAGTGGCCCTTTAATGTAAAAAGAAAAAGTGAATTCTGTGGAATAATTTACCGTCAGCTGATCAGTTTGATCTGGTCAATTATCACTGAGTGCAGTTTAATGGTCACGTCGTAAAAACTGTAAATTAAATTCATCTACTGAGTTAGTGAGTTCCACCGACGTGTTGATGATAAAACCTTCGTCCTGTCGTCTCCGGGAATCGAGTTAAAAATATATAAAGTTTCAACACAATTCCTGTTGTTGTTTCTCTCTAAATTTGAAGAACAAAATTTCCAATATCTGGTTCAGGGACCAGTCATGGCACTTTTTGTGGCCCAAAATTTTTTCTTTTTTTTCTATTTTTGTTTTTTGTAACTTTTCTTGCAAACATTTATTTTTTTTTAACAATTTTTGGCTATTTAATTATGTTTTATTGACATGTTTTTTCACATTTGGTAATTATTTAAATTATTTTCTAATTAAATTGAAATGAAATTATTAAATTATTTATACTGAATTCATGGCGCCCCCTAACGGATGGAACGCTTCAAATAAATAACTAATTTAATTTTTTATTAAAAGTTGTATTAGTTCTTTTCACTGTATGTTTTTATATATTTATTGATTTATAAATTTAACATTTCATTCTTTTGAATGTCTTGTCTTAGACTTGACTGACTGTAAACAGTCAGTCAAACAGAAGTCCATAGACAAATCAGCAATTTAACATGGGTTCCTATGTGCCTAAAAAAGGGTATTTTTCCTGTGGCCTTTGGCACGTTGATGATGGATGATGGCGATTATTGATAAAATATGAAAACATTGTAAAAATAAGTTTGTAATTTTCCAGATATTGATGTTTAAATGTTGTTTACTGTCGGTTTTAGAGCACTTTATATAAAACACAGAACTGTCCCTTTAATGGCAGCACAGCTCAAGGCCAAACCTCCTGAGGCGGTTTTTGTTTATATAATTTCACTTTTTTTTACATGTATTTAAGTATCATAAGAACCTTTGAATTTATGAACAAAACCACGTTTTCACACACACACACACACACACAGAGAGATCAACCTTCCACAGACTTCATGCTTTAATCACATGACGCTCCATGAGAACAGCTTCATTATGAGGTTGATTTCTGTGATTCTGAGGGCGGGCCGTGCTGCGTCCTGTGACCATCTGTGCTGCTTTTATTCTCATGGCTGCAGGACACGGGAGTCTGAACCCCTCTGACACTCAGACTCAGAACTTTACTTCCTCATTGTTTCTGTCGAGTCGTTGAGTGAAAGCCTTTTTTAAATGATGTTTAAAGGAAATACTGAGCAGAGTTTCTAGCTTGAACGATGGAATCTTGGTTTTACAACCTGCAGTACCTCAAAAAAGGTAGGTTGTATTTATTCAGCGACAGGAAAAATACTCTCTCCAAAATCTCAAATCCTATTAAAAAAAATTAATAATGAAGAAATATTGATTTGTTTTTCATAAATTATTTTTTGTATGAAAAATAAGATTTTATAGCTAAAAAAATCTTAATAAAACTTTCTTGTTTCAAAGCAAAATTCAAGACATTAAAGACTGTAGGAAACAATGTAAGTTGATGCAAATTACAAAAAATGATTTAACATGTATTATTGAGGGTAAATGTAATTACAGTCATTTGGATTCAAAAGCGCACGTGAAAATATGGCGTTCGTTAAAATGATTTTTCCTTCTGTGAATGTCTGTACAGACTCTTCATTCTGCGGCACTTTTATGCACAGCCGTGTGCCGCGGTACACCAGTGTCAAACAGAGTCGTCCTGTACGTTTTTAAATGTATAGAAATGTCCAGTGGAGCCTGAAGAGAACTTCTTAGACCTTAATATACGAGCAGAAGACCCAGCAGCTCGTCACAGTCACATGAATTCAGCATCAGTAGTTTAATTAATAATCAGTTGAACAGTGTATTTAATTAAATGTCCAGTTTCTCTTCCTTTCACTTTCTTCTTCTTCTTCTTCTTCTACTTTATTTCTCCACCTTCCTCCTCCTCTTCCTCCGAAACTTTTTGACCCACGGGCCACAATTGGTCCTAAAAATCAGGGTGGCGGGTCAGGAGCAGATAGATGAAGCGTTCGTATGAACTAAGACAATGGCATGTAAAAGTCATGCATAAATGCTAAAATGCTTTTAGCCTTTTCTACGCCATCTATTGGTGAAATGCAGGCATTGCAGGGAAAAGGCAGAAGTAAAATGATAGAAATCAATAACAAGTTTGCCTGTTGCCTGGTCTAACTCATGGTCACCTCTACTCTCCTCAGAGTCCAGCGAACATGAAGACAAGAGCACAGACGCGGCCCAGGAGGGAAACCAGACGGACGCCTCAACGGACGGGGCCAAAGATGAGGGGCAGTCCCTGAAGATGACCGTACCCAAACCAGAGGAGAACGAGGAGCTGGGCCTGCTGCCAGACAACTGGGAGATGGCCTACACCGAGAAAGGAGAAGTTTACTTCATCGAGTAAGTGAAATAGATGTTTTGACCGAAACCGCTTTTTGGTCAAGCTGTTTAGCCCTCGGCTAAGTCGAGGCAAGATGTTAGCTTTAAGCTAATTTTTAGCTAACTTTCTTCTCTCTGTTACCTGTTCAATATTGTAATTTTTTTATTTATCCATAAAAGAATCTTGTTCTTCATTTACTTCGTCATCACCATCATCATTATAATAATTCTCACCTTTTCCTTTCATTATTTCTTCTTCTTCTTTTTCTTAATGGTTGTCGTCATCCACTTTCTCTTCTTCTTTTTTTTTTCGTACTACATTTATACTACTTCCACCTCCGGTTCTTCAGGTTTACCTTGAGATGTGGCAAAGTACCCTTCATGTCAACAGTATTTTCCACCCTGCGTGGACATCGTACAGTATATCAGAGCGGGATCTAAGAAGTCCTCCTGTACCTCTGCTGCCTTTACATCCCCATCATTTCACTGCTTCGTATTTACTTCAAGCGCGAAACTGTTCAAACTTTGGAGGAAGTTTTAACTCTTCGCTCTCATTATTCTGTCTCTGATGTATTTACTGACCGAGGGAGCGTCTGAATTAGTGCTGTGTAACATTTAAATGCACTCCTGTGATGTAAGGGACCGCACACAGATACGCACAAACACACACACGAGGCCTGTAATTGATGCTGGGTGGTTTAATGAGATTTAAAGGTCCCTAGAAATACCCTGTTACACAAACACTACTCTCTCTCTCTCGTACAGTACAACAGCTACAGCACAGCTGTAAAAACCACAGAGGTGAGTCTTCATTACAGCACCGTAATACAGTGGCTGTGTGTGTGTGTGTGAGAGAGAGAGCTTTATTATCATCACATAATGCAGCCATGAGTAGAAATGCTCCTCTTATTGCATTAAGGTTTTTTTTATTTTTTTTTTATTGCACCATTAAACACTTTCCGTCATTAGAGCTACATTTTCTGCGTCCTATGGATTGGACATTAACGCACTTGAACGCGCCATAAACCTCACACAGACAGAGAAATTAGTGGCCATTGTCATCAGTACGAGCACATGTTGCTTCGTCGCGTCCAGACAGACTTTAAATTCCGGCTGCCGTATGTTTCCCGCTGCTGTTTATGCGGCTCTGAATTAGTTTCTTTCTCTCGCCTTTCTTTCCCTGCTCTGACAAAGTGGCAGCTCCTGCCAAGACGACGCTCCTCTTTGATTGTCCTCCTCAGGAGCTGAATTTATTTACCTGAACTGATGCAGTCAGAGGAGAGGAACACGTAGGAGGGAGTGAGAGGAACAGAAAATCAAGGGAGGATGAATAGAAATACAAAAATAAAATGTAAACTTTCCCTGCTCTGACAAAGTGGCAGCTCCTGCCAAGACGACGCTCCTCTTTGATTGTCCTCCTCAGGAGCTGAATTTATTTACCTGAACTGATGCAGTCAGAGGAGAGGAACACGTAGGAGGGAGTGAGAGGAACAGAAAATCAAGGGAGGATGAATAGAAATACAAAAATAAAATGTAAACACCACACAGAAGTTTGTTTTTTTTTTTAGATATTTTCTTACACAGTTAAAACAAACCTGTTTTTACTGTGTGCTACAGTGAATGCTAGTCCTTTTAGCATTGTTTCATTCTGGGCTGTCAGTGAGTATTTGACCATTGTTTTTCACTCATTGCTGTGTTTTCTTTGCTAATTTAGCCTCTTTAGCTCAGGGTTAGCCATGTTAGCTGTGTTAACATTAAGCTAGTAAATGGTCTTAAAGCTGTGTTTTAACTTACATTGTAGTTATTTCTTGGCGTAGCAGATGTTGCTAACCATGTCTCTGTGAGCTAGCCGTGTTAGCTTCAGCTCTTTCTTATTCAACTTGTAGTTGTTTAATAATTTGTTCAGTCTAATAGCTCCGGTCTAATAGTTTGGTCTCTCTACTAGCTGTCTCTTGACTAATTTTACTGCAACTTTAGCTACTTTTATCTATATCCTGACTGACATTGTTTTTAGGCTAACTGTACGAATGTTCAGTTTTTATTTGTGAGCATACTTTTATGGGCTTTTCAGGCTAATTTAAGGTTGTGACTTGGAATTATCTATATCCTGACTGACATTGTTTTCAGGCTAACTTCTTCGTCTTCTTAAACCTATACTTTTGTCACTTTTTAGTCAGTAGAATCCCCTGGGCCTTGAAGTCTCCCATGTCTCTGACCCTTCTAATAGCCTAAATAGAAAGGACTCGACGGGACATTTAATTTGGAAATACAGCAGCAGTGGAAATAAAAGGAAGTTAAAAACATAAAGAAAGTTTATGGTAAAGAATCAAACACTGATCCACGGACAATTTACCTTCCTTTGAACTGAACTTTATTTTGCCTGGAGCCTTAATCTGTCATTTTTATCTGCATGTACTTTCATTATCTTTTGTTCAGTGCCCTGTTTTATGGCTGGAGAGAGGACAGCTTCAGATCCAGCACCGATTACATCCAGACAGAAATATTATTCCTGTGTGGTCCCAGTAGAATAAATTATCATGGGCTTTAGTCTTTTTATTTATTCCTGTTGTTGCCTCCAATAATTGCACTAAATGAACCATGTAATAGAAGCTTATAACTTTGGTAACTTTTTCAGGGGAAAAGTAACTTCAGAAATAAACAAATTATTTGAATAATTACTTTAATTAATTGTCTTGGGGTGGGATGTTGAACAGTTATATTTTCATAAAAGGCTCAGGGTTTTACTGTTGTATTTGTTAATTTACATGCCAGTGTGTCCTTGGACTGGACTTTAACCCCAGTGAACCTCATCCACGTTGTAACAGCGTGATCTCCTGCCACCTAGTGGTCACGAAGTGATACATTTTTAGATTTCCATGTCCATGAGCTGTTTTTAAGTAAATATTACTAACCCCAAAAATTTTACAAAATGTTAAAATATTCATTTACTTCTGGGCAAAGTTTTAGTTACACATTAGTGTCTTCACAACCTCTTTTTTTCTTTACCTTACACTTCTCACCAGCGTTGTCGACCCCTTTGAAAACGTCTGCTCTTTTTAATTATTTTCTTAAAGTTATCGCTTATCTTGTCTTTAATGCTTCAAAAACACTTGTGATTCATATTTTAAAGCTTCCCTTCTTCTCTGCTCTGCCGACTTCAAAGCAGATTTGAATTTGCAGGCCAGATTTTCTCTTTGCACATCGGGAAAAAAGAAATTGAAAGATAAAGCAAAAGCTCCACTTTCTCCTTGAGCAGACTTTGTTTTCTTAGTTTGCTGCAGCCTTCTGTCAGACTCCCATCTTTCCTTATGTTCTCTTCTGTCACCTGAGCTTCTCACAGGACGGATGTGAGGGTGTAATGAAGTTTCTCTGTTACATTTTACCGTCTGATGTTCATCCAGCTTTCTGTCAGAGGATCTGGAAGAATCTGTCAAGCCCACAGCTGTTCTCCTCCTTAACTCCCTCCCCCTCCCATCACTTCCCTCCACCTGCTAATGAGAAAGACAGTAAGCAAATTAAAAGTATCGATTGCCGTTTTGTTAACTCATACCAACATTTTCCGAGAGGCAGAGAGAGTCTCGTCTTCCCTCTCTTGAAATGGTTCCACAGCTGAATTAAGAATCCACCAACCTCCTCCTCCACCACCTCCTCCTCCTCCTCCTCCTCCTTCTCCTTCCTCTTCTCTTCCTGCCAGCTCTTTATCTCCTTCCATCTATCACACTCACTCTCACTCCTCTCTCACTCACCGCTCTGTCGTCTCTCCACAGCCACAACACCAAGACAACATCGTGGCTGGACCCAAGGCTGGCCAAAAAGGCGAAGCCGCCCGAGGAATGCAAAGAAGATGGTGAGTCCTGCAGCTCCGTCTTCTTCTTCTTCTTCTTCTTTGGTCTTTCCACTTCCATTGTTTTTCGCTCCCTGTCGTTTATTTCATCTCTTGAGAGTTGTCGTTACAAATGTTGAGGGTGTGAATTTTATTTTCGCTCCACATATTCTGCTCAAAGCCGAGGTGTAGAGGATCTGCAGGTCACAAAGACCTCTTTATCCCTGAGTCTCTTTCTGCCGTCCACTCTTCCACCACACACACACACACAAACACACACACACACACACACAGAGTAGACATAGAGATGCAGAGTGTGTTTGGTCGGTTACCGTGCATATACACCAGTGTGTCATCCATCTTTTATGGCCTCAGCCTCCCATCTAACTATTATATTTGTCTTTTCTTTAAACGCCAAGCCCACAGTGTGGATTGATGGTGTGGTTTATAGACGGGAGGCAGCAGTGAAGCTGAGGAGGAGAAGGTGGAGGTAGAGATGGACACTGATGAAACGGATGAAAAATGACTGGACGTCTGCGAGTTAGTTTGTCTGTTGGCACGCGGCCGACGGGTGAGGCTGTGTGTGGATGTTGTTAGAAACGGAAAGGATAAAGTTACTCTAAAAATATTCCCAGACGTTTACAGACAGAGACGGGCGGACGTCTCGGAGTCAAAGTGTGTGTTTTCAGAGCTGTCGTGTCAAAGGTGGAGGACATCAGGACACTTTGGTGAGATTTAATCTCTGAAGGGATGGAAATACTAAGATTTCAGAAAGTTTTGTGATTTCATATTTTTTTGGGATACTATTGGACTTCTGTTTTTAACTTTGTTAACAGTCCTATAACTTAATTTAACTTGTTGCAACTAATTTGTTTTTACATCCAGACATAACTGTATTAATGTTGTGAATTATTAAAAAGTCGGTTCCATAGTGTAGCAGTTAGCGCGCCTGCCTCAGAAGCAGACAGCAGAGAGTCCTGGGTTTGATTCCCAGAGGAACCACATGCTTGGTGCTTGCTAGTGTCAGCCTGTTAACAACATATCTGCTGCTAACACAACAATTTCCCTAATATGGGATCAATATAGTACATTGTGTCTGTTTTGTTTTCTATTTTTTATGTAATGTTTTGGCCAAGGTTTTGAGTTCCACAACATTTCTGTCATGTTTTTGGTATATAGTAAGTATATAGTTTTCTTTTTAAGGGCAGTAATCTTGAGTAATCTTAAAGAAATTGCTTGCTTAAGTTTCAAAAGTCTGTGAAAAAAATGTGACCAATGTAAAAAAAAAAAAAGTATATAGTTTTCAGTGCAATTTTTACCCATTCTTTCTGAATAAAAGGCCGAGGCTGCACATCAGTGAGTTATCTTCAACTGGAACTGGAGTCGTGCTGCTGTACTGTATGCAGATGACACCACACTTTTTGTAATTTGCTGTAGAATGAATGGGAGACATTCTTCTTTTATGTCTGGTTCAACTTCCTGGCTGCTACCTGCGCTGTTTCTGTGGTAGCATGATATGATTCCACTGCGTTTTAGGGTTCAGTGTTCTCGTCTCGCAGCAGGAGTTGTTACTTCAAAGACTCTGCAAGACTTAGTTTAAGAGACTTCAGCTGCCGGTGCAGAGAAAACAAGGAAAATAATTTATATTAGTGTGGAACATGACGACAGATGACTCAATGTCAAGACAAAGATGAAAACATGAGCTTTTCACAAAAGTTGAGGGATTTGTACCGTACACACACAAATCCCGTTGTGGAATTTGAATCATCAAACTCCATTTTAGTTCTGTCTTCATGTAGAGATGTAGAAAACTCTCCGTGGTGACGACGTGACGCCGAAGCAAAGACATCCTGTGAGAGATCGTTGTAAAAGTGATTGCACTTTATCTGAAGCATTTCCAGTCCCATTCATTTATCTACTGAGGACACAGAGTCAGCAGGGAGGGGGGGTCGGGTGCTGGAGTTTGTTATTGATCTTGAAGGACGTCTCATCCTCTTAGTCCCGGCCAAGTCCACTGGGGGACTAATGGGGCGACTGCAGGTCTGGGAGGAGACATTCTAATTGTCTAATTGCCAAATTTTTCGGCATCAAACACTGAATCAAGTTCAATGTCGGTCAATGATAATTGAATTTCCACCGTGTGAGGTGCTTTAGAATTTAAATCTAAGAATTCTCTGGTTTAAACCTGGAGGAAAAACAATTTCTGGTTTGATTTGATTTATTTGGACTATGCTGTTGACTGGTACACGCTTGTCTACGCTTTTATTGTGGTTTGAGGTCAGCTTTGTTTATGTTTTTCTCTTGTGTCAGGTTACGTCGACTGGACTTTGTTGACCATATTGGTTTCCAAAACTTCAGAAGTTTGTTTCCAGCTGAGGAGGTTTTTGGTGTAATGAGAGCAGTATTTGTGTCGTTCACCTCAAAGGTCTACGGTCTGGAGGCAGCAGCCTCCTCCGAGAGCTCAGATCAGTTAGAGGGAGAAAAGCTGTCTCTGTAAATTCACTATTGATCTGTGGAAAAGGTGTTTTCGGTGTGTGTTTGTGTTTGTGCGTGTCTGTCTGCAGTCAGACCTGAACCATGCTCTGATAAGCACTAACAGGGTCGCAGGCTGGAGTCTGCAAACCGAGAACAGTACATGGCTCTTGGAGAAGGGCAGCACCCAGAGAAAAACAAACTCAGAAAAATCACATCAAACAAAGAATGAAAGTAAACGTCTGCAGGATATTGACTTGTAGTGTCCAGATTTGAAATTGAACATCTGCCATATTCCATCATAAACTCTGACCATCTACTATTGTTTTTTGTTTTCGGTGTTTCTTATATGACCCAAGTCAATAGTCATTATTCATAAACTCCTGGGAAACATGAGGCAAGACGACCCCAAAAAAAAACTCTTGTGACCCACCTGAGGGTCGTGACCCAGTCTTTGGAAAACAATGATCTATAACGAGAGAACCATTTGTCCTAAATACAAAGAAATATGTTGTAATGGTATTTATTTTGTTATATGCCCATCAGTAAATTAATTTGCACTAAAGCTTCTTTAATGAAAGTAGGTTTGAAAGAAAAGCCCTTTTATTTTTATTCATGTTTAAAATAGCCAAACAAAATTAGATTCATCATGTTAGCTTAGCTCAAAGTTAAAAAATTAAAAAAACAAATTCTGCCAAAAAATAAATTAAAAATCTATTTACAAAACAACTAAATGTTAGCAAATGATGGCTAAAAGAATTAGCCGTTAGCCAGATAGCGTTAAGGTTTTGAAGCAAACAAGCAGCTTACATTGTAGCTGTGCAGTCATGATAACTGAGGTAGCCTGATGCTTGTTCTTTATTTTCTCTTTTTACAAAGAAACCAGTTGGTGTGGTGTCCTAAGGCAGTTTGTTTGACTTGTGTTTTACTCACATTTGAACACTTACTTCGAAGTAAATAATTTATTTTTTTATTATTTATGAATTACAGTGTAAACACATTTTAGGACTTCATTAATCTTAGTTACTGAATGTAATTAACCTTACATTAGTCAGACTGAAACACCGACAAGCATGAAGATTAAGACTTTATTTAAATTAGGGTAAATGCTCTGCGCTCTGCTGAAAATGTCTTGTTTCTTTTTAACTTTGGAGACATTAACACTTGATGTTGAGATTGTTTCTGTATTCGGCTCAGTGTGTTTATGCTATATGTTCAAAGACACCCCCCCCCCTTACCTTCCTCACCCCGGTATGTGTCTCTCAGTTACATAAATCATGTTTGTTTCCATCTTTTCCACGTCCTCTCTCTATATCCACATCCTCCGTCGTCTCATTGTCTCCACGTTTTGCTTTGTAGGCGAAAAAAGTAGGACGGACTCTGAGCTGTTTTTTTTTTTCCCCCTCAGCCGTTCCTGTGCGTGTTTGTTGACTGTGTAAACAGAAACTGAGTGGGTTTCTGCTGTTTCTTCTTGGATTTTTACCGTGATTTAACCCAGGTGTGTCAAAACTGGGAGTGAAAACATCAGTGATGTGGGGAATGAAAACAGACAGGAACAGAAGAAGCAGGAGCGCTAACGTCATGTGTGACCGTTTCACCGGGTTTCATCAGAACAGGTTCCACATATTGTACCACCCACATGGGCTGACAAGACAGCTGCCCCAGATACTGTAATGATAATGTCTTAAGACATTGACATGTGAGTTAGAAGGACTTTTTGACCATGGATTATCTCCCTGACATGTAGTACCTCCGCTGGCCACTATATACAGTACTGTGCAGTTACATCTCATCAAATACTCAGTACTTTTAGTGCCATTCAGCACATTAACTCCTTCATCACCGGTGCTGCCTATGGATGAATTGGTAACACAGTTGGATTGAAACTCTAGGTCTGGGGGTTCAGTTCTATATCGCCCCCTGGTTTTGTTGACAGGTAGTTGTTAATAGGGATACCATTTTTAGTTATAGTTATGAGTATTTTCATCTGTGTACTCATTGACCCTGAGTATTGTCACTGTGGTGCAGCTCAGATTAAACCGTTTGTGTTGCTCACACAGACTGATGGACAGAAAGTGAGCAGAGCTTTCACACCAAATCACACATTTCAATTCAAACGTCCCTTAAACTCTGCGGAACTATTTTAATATTTCAGTAAACAAACTAACACACACACACAAGTGACTCGGTGAGGTGTCAACTCCTCATCCATCCATCATGTTTTTAAACCAGTGGTTCCTAACCTTCTTTGGCTTCTGACACCATGTTGACATCACAGATTTCTGGCGACCCCAGAGATATTTTTAGTCGCTGTCACTTGTGCAGTCAGGTGATGGCAGCCATCAATCAAGATTCTCCAGCTCAGAAATTTTTATATGCTGCATTTTTTTAAACTCTATTTATATTCATGCAAGTAAATGAATCCTGTTGTTTAAGATTGTGTTTGATGCTTTCAGTAATAATTTTAAATATCCTGAAAAAATATTCTCATTAGGGGATTTTTTTAAATCAATTATAGACATTTCAGGCATCTCCATTTGAATTCTAGACGA